AACCCGTCCCGGGCAGGCGGGTATTTCGAACACTGACCTTACACAATCAGCACTGGTGTTCATTATGTTGACACCTTGCACACATATCAGCTCTGGTGTTAATTTAAAGGACACTTTGCACACATATCAGCACAGGTGTTCATTAAGGGACACTTTGCACACATACCAGCACAGGTGTTCATTAAGGGACACTTTGCACACATCAGCACAGGTGTTCATTAAGTTGACACCTTACACACATCAGCACAGGTGTTCATTAAGTTGACACCTTACACACATCAGCACAGGTGTTCATTAAGGGACACTTTGCACACACATCAGCAAATTTCCTTGTTTGACTTATCAGAATACAACCCACCTTTCTCACATCTTTAAGCAGCCCGTGAAGATAGTGAGAATTGGTCTTCAGCAACCCATGCAGGGGTGGAAATAACTTTAAAATTGCTTATGTACTCCGGTACAGTGGCACATGTAAAATCACTTGCCCTGATAATTTTTCCACTATACTGGCTGATTTTCTTGTTGATTTTTTTAATAAACAACATAATTAACATTGGAAAGTCAACTGGACACCGGTACAGCGTGACATACAAATTTGCTAGCCCGACAGAAAAAAAACCTGGACTGGGCGTCGGGCAATGGGTTATTTCCACCCCTGCCATGCTTGTCGTAAGAGGCAACTTACGGGATGGGTGGTCAGGCTCGCTGGCTTGGTTGACACATGTCATGCCATGCCATCATATCCCAATTGCATAGATCGATGCTCATGCTGTTGATCACTGGACTGTCTGGTGCACACTCGACTATTTACAGACCGCCGCCATATAGCTGGAATATTGCTGAGTGCAGCATTAAGCAACCCAACATCTTTAAGCATCGCATTTTTCACCACTTTAAATATTCATTTGAAAACATTTTCACCACTAGCAAAGCCTCAGCCGTATTTAGTCATTTATCTTTCATCACATTGCGACCCGTGAAGATCCGGGGTAGAATAGGTCTTCAGCAACCCATGTGCTTGCCATAAAAGGCGACTATCCTTGTCGTAAGAGGCGACTAACGGGACCGGGTGGTCAGTTTCGCTGACTTGAATGACACATGTCATCGGTTCCCAATTGTGCAGATCGATGCTCATGCTGTTGATCACTGGATTGTCTGGTCCAGACTCGATTATTTACAGACTGCCGCCAAATAGCTGGGATATTGCTGAGTGTGGCGTAAAGCTAAACTCACTCACTCACTCATCACACATCACACTGCCCCTCCACAGATCCAGCAACACACAACTGAAACACGTAGGTAGAAACTGTATGGATTTTATTTTCCTGTTTTAACGAGAACTGTACAGTTGTGAGGAGCCACCTGGAGGATAAACAGACTATGTACACAAGTAGAATGATCATCAAGTATAAATGCAACAAACACACGAGGTGCCGCACGACTTGCATAGCGATACACCGTACTCTCAGTATTCGTGACTAGAACATGAACCATAGACAATAATACTCCACGACTCACTCACTCCAAGATCTCATCTCATTTGCATATTCAAATAATGAAGGTCGCATTTTGTCTTAGCAGGACCGGTTCCATAAAGCTATCTTAGCAGTAGGACAGTTTGGTAAAATAAGATTTCACAGCTGTGGCACTAAGATGTAACACAAATGTACCACTAACACTTCAATTTCATAAATATATGCTCCATATCAACCATGCAATAAATTAACATTTACATAATTTTCAGAACTACTTTTTCCACCATGGAACATTTTACAAAGAGGTAAAGGTTAAAACTATAGTCTTAAAGACAGATATGTTAAAGAAAGTTCTTATGGCTCTTAAAAATTATTTTTTAAAGAGGATTTTAAAATCTAATCATATTGCTTTTTGTCTGGGATGGTTTCACTGAAACTTGACCCTGGGACTGCAGACATATATGCTCCCCTCATCGAAAGACGTATGCAAACGAGATGCTATCAGCTTTGTTATACATTTACAATACACACAATTTGTTGTTGAAGTCTCATTTCAAACGTCTTTAAAACAAGGTGAGGGCTTGTTCTTTGAGTCTCTGTTTTTGACATGTGGATTCAAAAATAACGCTCCACCATGATAATTCACTGATGTTACATTGATAGTTCAAGAATCTAAATTTCCTTGGCACAATTTGGACAATATATGAACACAAGGCCTACAGACAATCATCAAGGATGATAATGTAGATACACGTTGACTTTCCGGGGGATAATGCGTTAAGTAGCAATGCAGGACAAAATCTGTACCAAATATGAACACATGGCTATTTGTACACCATAATTACTCGTCGCCATGGTTACTGAATGTCTATGTAGATAAACAGAATATCTGACATGTTCAACTCCTAAAATCACTCGATATTGTAATGGCAGGCACACTTTTCTCAGCCTCCGTGTGAATACAATTTGTGGTAATACTAGTTGCTCGGTGTGTATTTGTGTATTACAAATATTATTGAACATATGTTAACACTCTATACACCGAGAGATTAACACTATCATCCAGCATCTGTCAGCTGGACAAGGGTTAAAGTAGGCTGAGCCAAATGAATGACGATGAACAAACCCCAGTCCACCTTGTGAGAAACATCACGCTATAATGAGAATAAACCAGTCAGTGGAAACCCGATTTCATTTGTCTCGCCAGTAACAAGATTCCATGCATGTTTATAAATACAGTGACTCCAACGTCTATGAAACGCATGCATACTGCTCGGTATGCATGATCATACACAATAAATTACACCTGAATATAGCTCTCCCACCCCGTACAAAGCAGGTACCCACCCACCCCATCAACAAACTATCAAAACATGAAAACAACCGATTGTATTAATGCCCATTTGTTCCATTTCACAATGCAAAAAAAAGTATAAATAGCAAGCATGTTTCCATGCAGGCAAAACCATTGTCCCTAAATTCCCCTTCCCACACTGGGATGCCAGGTAGCCATATTTCCCGAAATTTATGATCGACACATTTTGAGATCCATGCATTAATTTCCCCTTCCTAATAAAGATCCGATTTCACTGCATATAACTGTTTCCCTGTTAAATACCATTTCCCTTTCCCACAATCCTTTACCGCCCCGGTACATTATCACTTCCTGTTCTTCCAAATCATCTGATGTCTCTATTTGTTATTATTTCCCCAAAAATTCTCCCCATGTATTATTTTTCCTTCCTGACATCCCATTTCCCCACATAACATTATTCCCCAACAATCCTATTTCCCAATATTTACCCTTCCACAATAATTGTATTTTCCAATATTTCGTTATTTCCCCTTCCACACAATAATTTTATTTTCCAATTCATTATTATTTCATTTTCCAATTCATTATTATTTCCCTTCCACTCAATAATTTTATTTTCCAATTCATTATTATTTCCCTTCCACACAATAATTTTATTTTCCAATTCATTATTATTTCCCTTCCACACAATAATTTTATTTTCCAATTCATTATTATTTCCCTTCCACACAATAATTTTATTTTCCAATTCATTATTATTTCCCTTCCACACAATAATTTTATTTTCCAATTCATTATTATTTCCCTTCCACACAATAATTTTATTTTCCAATTCATTATTATTTCCCTTCCACACAATAATTTTATTTTCCAATTCATTATTATTTCCCTTCCACACAATAATTTTATTTTCCAATTCATTATTATTTCCCTTCCACACAATAATTTTATTTTCCAATTCATTATTATTTACCCTTCCACAATAATTGTATCTTCCAATATTTCGTTATTTCCCCTTCCACACAATAATTTTATTTTCCAATTCATTATTATTTCCCCTTCCACCCAGTAATCCTATTCTCCATGCCACTTCCAGCCATAATTCCCTGCACAGTACATTCATGAAACACAAATATTACTTTATCTTGTAGCGACAAAGATAAATTATCACACAAAAAACAGCACAAAAACAATGTATAAAAAGACACAAAAATGCTGATAAAAAATGTCTCGTTTTTTTGTCATCTTGATTAATTACATTTCAACTGATTGTCACAGACCAAGTGAGCACGCTCACTCAACCACAAAATAGCACTTTAAGTACACACCAACCTGTACAGAAGTTATAACATAGCCACTGAGTTGTACAATATAGCCATTGTATGGTACAAATAGCCATTGTACAATGTTGTACAGCATGGCCATTGTGTTATCAACATACCATCATGTTGTATAACATGACCATGGTATTATACAACATACCATCATGTTGTATAACATGACCATGGTATTATACAACATACCATCATGTTGTATAACATGCCATTGTATTATACAACATACCATCATGTTGTATAACATGCCATTGAATTGTAAAACATGACCACTGGATTGTACAACATGGCCATTGTATTATACAACATACCACTGAATTGTATTGGATTGTATTAAACAGCCATTGGATTATACAACATTATGTTGTATAACATGCCAATGAATTGTAGAACAGACGATTGGATTGTACAAAACGGTCATTTGTGTTATACAACATCGAATCAAGTTGTATAACATGCCATTGAATTGTAGAACAGGACCACTGGTTTGTACAACAAGGTTATTTTGTTATACAACATACTATCACGTTATATAACATGCTATCATGTTATACACTATACTATCATGTTATATAACATGCTATCAAATTTAGAACAGGCCAAAAGGAAGCAGGGAAACCATGAGCAGAAGTATGCAGTTCAGAGACAGACAAACCAAACAGGTGTTAGGATCATAAGCAAAAACCAACATTAAGGAAGGTCTACAGTTTTTAAAAAGGCTCAAAATAGTTTTGCAAATTACATTAACATTTTGTGGATAATTAGTTGACATGGTCCTTGTCCTGGAGCTACCATATCAACATAAATAAATTTGTCTCATTTTTTAGAAAGCTAAAATGCATTCAACTGTTAGAATTTGTAAAAGTTCACAAAATATTTTCGCTTCAGATGTTATCCAGTTTTATGCTAGTTGTAAAGCCAAGCTCAACGTATCCACTACGAAGTGCATGTTAGACTTGGTAGTTGATACTTTCAGCTGTTTTCACTAGTCGAAAATTTCTTTGTAGCGCAAATTCAACAACAAAAGCTTCAAGGAATGAGTGAATTAATAGTGGCAGTTTGTCAGCATTGTCAAATGTCACACAAATGCATGAACATACCCACACACGGCAGGTAACCTCCAGCTAAGGGAGGTAACTCCATTAAGCATCATCATTATCTAACAGTCGAAACAGTAAATCACTTGCACGTCCAAAGTGGAATCTAGTTTTATATTTTCTTGTGGCTTATCAACCAGGATCATTTCATATTTTATCCTTCAGAATTTATATTAAGGCAAAAGCAGAGAATCTAAAAGTAAGCATGATAAGACAGTTATCTTTGGCATGGTAAAGAAATAAAATGACTGCAAACGTTTCTGCCCCTACCCCTGCTTAAAACTATTCTGGGTCTGAGCCACCTAAGCCTAAATCTACATAAATGATTTTTTAATACTTCAAATGGGGTTATGATTTGGAAATATTTCGAAGCAGGGGTTACAGACTAAAGTTCAACTAACTGATTTACAAGCAGAGTCCAACTCAAAACTCACTCACTAATTTATCACTACCTATACATTCCATTTGGCGGCAGCATGTTATTCGTCTTGGCAATATTTGGTGTCGTTAATTGATGAAACAAAAACAGATTAAAAAACAAAGTATAAATCTTAAAAACTACCATAACAAACATCTAGAACTGTTTTTTGGGTTAAATTATGCAATAACACAAAATCAGGATAGAGATAAATAAAAAGCAACAAACAAAATGGTTGCTATAGCAACAAGCACACAAAAACTTGGGTTCGGTGGGTACGTCGACTGAAATAGAATTATGCCATTCATCAACAGAACTATTCTCGGATGTCGAGTCCTTGTATCAATGTACAAGAAGCTAGTATAATTCATCACACTTTTTTGTCAAAAAACAATATAGTATAATAATAAATATGTATTTTCAGAAATGTTAAAGAATTTAGTTTTTTCAGAATGGACAGTGTATTCCTGGAAATTTGATTGAGTGAAATTGACATACATAAGAAATAATTGTGCTCCTAAATAATACATTGTGTTCAATCGGCCACTATTCAGGTTGACATGGTAACCAATCTAATGAGATTCACAAAAATATATCTCTGATACATGTCTACTAATTCTATGACCTTGTAACCATGGTTACTAGAAAGAAGTATCACTTAGGGAAATACCACCAGTGAAGAAATACAGATGTTGATTTTGATTCAGTTTTCATAACAAAATAGGATGCTGTGACTGGAATAATGGAAAGCAAGTGTTTATCACTGCGGTAACGAATGAAGAACCATAGCAACAGTGATAACCATGGCAACAGTGAATACATGATGAATATCGCTCTCTAACACACATTCACATGTATGCAAACCTCGCACTGATTCACACACAGTCCTCACACACTGACATCAGTCAGAAGGGTTAAATTATTTATTATTTATGAAGATTTGAATTATTACACAAGAGTTAAAGGGGAGATGCAATTTTCGTTGTTCTTGCATACTCCTTAGGGGAGTAGTATTTCAGAGAACACATGACGACCGAGACATATATCTGATATGTGGTAAGTAGTTTTTAGGAATACTGATTCTTGAACAGATACTGTCAATATGTGGACAGGTCAATGCATGGTGTGGGTTGCTTTCATCGGCAGATAAATCATGGAAGAGTTGTCTCCCCTTATACCATTTCACACCAGGGGATAATGTTATGTTTATAATTGTTTCTGCTCATCTTCAAAAAGGGAAGATGTCTGTAAACTACAAAAATTCACTAATGCACAAGTAAAGTGAGTGTTACGCCGCTTTTAGGAATATTCCAGCCATGTCATGGCTGGGGACACCAGAAATGGGCCTCACACATTGTACCCATGTAGGGAACCAAACCCTGGTCTTCAGCATGACGAGCGAACACTTTAACCACTAGGCTATCCCACTGCCCCAGGGTAGCAACACTTTGTTAAATAATTGGAATTTGAACAAATGATAATCTTAAAAGTATATACTTCAATTTATAAAAAAATGAATAATTCTTGTAATATGATAATTTTTCAAATACAATGTGGGGTAGAAGGAGAGAACTCCTCATAGCACTAAATATGCATCTACGACGGAAAGTAATGACATATGTACATTTCATAAAACAGAACGAGCACACACACTAAATATCACATACTGACGGTCAACAGCTACCTCTAGAGTATAGCTTCTCGTTATGGAGACCTTTGGTATATCGCAATACATTGCTATATCTCCAGTGTTGGGTAAGTGAGGCCGTATAATGCCTCCTGACGACTACTATCACTTCCAATCATACTACGTCTGCAACAACCGCTTCAGACAGAAACATCACATGACAAGTCACATGACCGAGTTCATAAATGTGCCGTGGTCACTTGTGTAATAACAAGACTATTTATATTCCCATGACAAATCACATGATGATTCACATGACTGTAGAGTCATGTCGCATGACAACTTGTTAACAAGTCCCAAGCGGAAGATAGCAGATTTGTCACTTTGCCACGCAGCAGGACAACATCCAGAAATGTCCTGTTTTGGCACAACAACTTCTTACGGTGTTCCAAGAACGCTGTATTTCTCCTCTTAAAGCTACAAAACTGATCACCCTTATACCAGTGCCCTTAGTGACTGAACACATTTTGTAAAATGTGAATGTTTTTCATATGATCGCTGACCATTTTCAGACGTGGCAAGCTTCACATGAGTCTAATCCCTGAATTAAAATGTGCAGATCCTTCAGGTAACCTTTTCAGAGGGTCTGTTAGGGTTCTTCCTCAATCGATGAACTGTTTCCTCCTCCTCGTGTAAATTCTTCTCCCAAACAGACCCTCAGCTATAGATCACACTTGTCTTTGACCAGATTTTTTTCTATCACCCATTCCTCCGTAGAAAGGACAAGGCTTAACGAGAAACACCTCCAGTAAAAACACCAGGTGTCCTTTTGACGGTTGCTTAGCAACATTGTTTGTTGGCATCATGGTCACAACTTTAAAAAATGTTTTTCAAATGTGGAAACAAAAATATAACTTTTGAGATTCTTAGAGTCATCACAACTTTGTTCGTGTGACTATTAATGTTAATATCGTCATAGCAACCAGAATTGATAATGAGGCAGGAGACAAAATGGCTGCAGCATTGACATGGCCGAGACGTGGAGCTCTCATTGGGGCAAGGAGAAGAGGGGTCAAGATCAGGTAAGACATGAGTGTCGGACTTCCTGTCCTGATGAGATCCTCTAACCGCCGAGCTACGCTGATACAAGCTTCAACCTGCAAAGAAAAACAAACATCCTACATTAATAGGGACTTAGCGAGTTCAGTTATACTCTGCTTTTAGCAATATTCCAGCAACATCACGGTGGGGAACACCAGAAATGGGCTTCACACATTGTACCCAAGTGGGGAATCGAACCCAGTCTTTGACGTGACGAGTGAATGGTTTAACCACTAGGCTTCCAAAGTGTCCCTTCCGACATTAAAAGGTCCTAATCAGTGTGTAAGATGTTGTGCATAGAGCCCAGGCCACAAATCAGTTGAAGTTAAGCAAAGTCACAGAGAGTCCTTGGATGGGTGACGTGTTTGGCAGCTTGACTCCTGAGAGCTTCTTGAATTCAGTCCTGCCCCACAACAGAGGACATGTGACACATGGTCCATAGGCAAGCAAGTTGGGTCAAAATTGCCTCTGTTCACTCAGCAGTGATGTGACTATTAACCTTCTAGTGCCTCACAGGCAGCTTGGGTTATCTGGGCTGATACAGGTGCTTCATAAATGTCCTTTATTATTATGGATTGAAATATAACATGCAGCAGAGAAGTGTCAGATGGTCGTTCATTCAGGCTGGTAAGGCTTGTCATCAGCTCAGATACCCTTGCCTCCTCTACACGCAGCCCGACCCGTGAAGATCCGGGGTAGAATAGGTCTTCAGCAACCCATGCTTGCCACAAAAGGTGACTATGCTTGCCGTAAGAGGCGACTAACGGGATCGGGTGGTCAGGCTCGCTGACTTGGTTGACACATGTCATCGGTTCCCAATTGTGTAGATCGATGTTCATGATGTTGATCACTGGATTGTGTGGTGCAGACTCGATTATTTACAGACTACCACCATATAGCTAGAATATTGCTGAGTGTGGCATAAACTAAACTCATTCACTCACTCTACCCGCAGCCCAGACAGCGAAAGGGACTGCTCCAAGGAAGCGGTCCCTAGTTGAACCCACCAAGAACTTTCCGGAGGATGTGGATTATTACTATTATACACAGAATCACATTCGTTGCAGCTATCACATAAATTTTGAGGATCAAGGAAGAGAACCGAGTATAAGCATATTTTGAACAACAGTTCAGTTCTGATATCAGACCGCCACCATATAGCTGGAATATTGCTGAGTGTGGGGTAAAACTAAACTCACTCACTCAGTTCTGATATATTGTATCACCTTGACCCAACTCTCACCTGTAGTTCTGTCGGGACCTGTGTTACTGGGGCGATGAGGATGATGAGAGCGCCATCTACACCAAGATACCCAAACACATCACACTCCGCTACCATCAGGTGGTCGGACAGCATGTTGAGGAGGACGGTGACGCTCATTGGCCCACCGCCCATCTCCTTGGAAGCAAACTCCGCCACACGTGGGTCGAACAGCGCTTGGAGCTCGGCAGCTGAAAAAACAGACAGACACTGCTCAGAGCAACAGCTAGTGTATTCTCAAGAGTCACCAGGAGATTACATAAACCCTCCCTTCCCCCAGCTTGATGGTTCATTGCCAATGGATATCTTCAGTTTAGTGATTAAAAAAATAATGCTGTACATTTTTTTTCAATATCCCAGAAAATCAAAAGACACCCCCCACCCCAACTTCCTCTTAGACATATCCTTGCAGTTCTGCTCCAGAAACAGAAAACCGACTTGGTACAGATGAATTGATGGACATGATGATCACTAAAATCCCCAATTTTTTAAAATGGGGAATGCCTGTGATGATCCGGGTTAGAAAACTAAACTCGCTCACTCAAACTGGGGGGATAATAATGGAAATAGTTCAGCCCTCTGTCTAGTGATGTTTCGATGATCGAAAATCGATCGAAAGAAGGATTAAAAATTATTGCATATTCACAGCATTAGTTTGGAAAAAAATTTTAACCACTTTTATTGTTTAAAATTGGTGATTACATTATAATTGAAGTATATACATTTTTAATCGTTAATCTTTCACCACAATCCTCCGATAATCGATAGTGGATTGGTTTCCGATTCCCAACACTACCTCTGTCCAGCCGTAACTACATTATCTGACTCATGTCTCATACTGGCTATGTTAGACTCACCACATATAGGACAGCAGGCACCAGGGGGGGTAACTCCATGGCAGTGTTTTGGTCGAAGCTCAGGACACTTGATGTGGGCGCAGGTGCTTGTCTTTGGAGAGTTGGCTGAAGTGGACAGTAAATCGATAAGGAAAAACATCAAACCATTCATCCAGAAGTTTCTTGAGCTACTATAAAACAGCAGGTTACATGCTACTGAAACAAAATAAATTGCAACCCAAATTGTCACCTAACTTCAGTTAATCTAACATGACAGATGAATTGTAGTCCTATGACAAAATTATGTTGTTGAACCCATTTTGAGTTGCACACATAACATTTATTTTGTTCATAGGAGTAGAGAATTTCTGATTACATTTCAAAAGTTCTTCAGCTCATCCCAAACCACAACTGACAACTGTTAATTCAAACACGGTAAAACCTCCTAGCTTGGATTCCCTCAGTCCAAAACCCATTTTTGGAATATTTTTGTAGAATCCTTTACATATATAAAAGACTGACTGACTGAGTTTGGTTTTACGCTGCTTTTAGCAATATTCCAGCAATATCACGGCGGGGGACATATATAAAAGAAACAATGATTCACTGATCTGTTTAATAATATCTGGATTAAGATGAAAACTGAAGCGTCCAGAGACGGTCAACCGTTCCCAAATACAGAGTCATCCTGTTACAGATATGCAGTAACAGACTGCATGTTTTACTATACCTGTGAGGTTCCCAAAGGCGCGGCACTCTCCACGGTAATCCATAGTAACACGATCAGCTAGGGCAGCACATTCGCTGGGGTAGGTTTCACCGTTGTGACCGCACACGGTCCCAGAATCTGCACAGTTCGTCTGAAGGGGGACAGGACAATGAATTTTAATAAAAAAACAGGTCACATTTAAATTTTGAAAGCCATTAGGTCTTGGCCATCTTGTACAGATTGTGTATGGGATGGACACTGGTGCTAAGGTTGTTGTAGGAATGAGTGGGGACCTACAAAATGTGTGTCGTCTACCACAGGGGTATTTTGTATGTGAATGAATGTTCTTCACACATTGTACCCATGAGGGGAATCAAACCCAGGTCTTCAGTGTGACAAGCAAACGCTTTAACCATTAGGCTACACCACTGCCCCATTACAAACATAAGAGTGAATGACACAGGGTCTCTATCCATCACAACTGCTTGATGTTTAATGCTGCACTCAGCAATACTATAGCCATAGGACAACAGATAAATAATCAAGTCTTGAACAGACAATACAGTGATCAACATCATCAGCATTGATCTATGCATTTCAAATATAATGACACATGTCAGCAAGCCAACCACCCGAACCGGTTGGTCTTTAACAACCTTTACCATCAAGACAATTATGTCTACCAGACACTGTAATTGTAGTATATCTGGAGATCACCAGCATTAGTTTAATGTTTTTGGATACCACTGCTATCAAGTCTGGTACCTACCATACAGTGCCCTCTGTAGGCCAGTTTCCGTCCATGGGAGTACAGCACACACGCATTGGTGAATTCCTCTCCGTGGGTGTCGCACACAGGGTCGTGGATGTGGTTGTTGCAGTTGTTGAAATCGGTTGCAGGAACTGAAACACAAGAACAAGGCGAGTTCAATGCCACTTTGAGCAGTATTTACGCTAAAATCTGTTCTTATACACTGAGAATCACAATTAGGACAAATCCTGGATTCAAGCCAATAATCACGGGGATCTCTCTTACTCAAAGGACAATATTTCCCTGCATACCATATTGAGCTCAGAGTTGATGTGCTTACTCATTATCTCTGCATGTTGAGCATCAATTAAATGTCAGGATGTAATTTCCAGACCCAAGCTCGGAAAGATGGCTGACACAGTGAAATATTTCGCAGAGGTACAGATAAGCTGCGTATCTGCATAAATTATGCAAATATATATTTGAAAACTCAATTCTTATTAAGTCATTGCGTACAAGTACGCTTGAATTTCTGTAAATACTCAATGAATTTGATCTAACATGCGTACACACAAAAACAGATAAAATAACAAGTATATTGAGAGGTTCTATTTCAGCACATGAACTTGGCAACTTGCAGTCTTTCTTATCGATTCCCATATTACAGATCAAACAAATAACAAACACGTAACCAACATCTGAACTTTATCATATTTTAACAATAAATGTAAGATGGCAAAATACCCAATTGAGTTTGAGTGAGGTGAGTACAATTTATTTGGTTACTCAAAGGAAAATTAGGATACCCAATTGAGATGAACACAAGGGAGTACATAACTCAGTTATTCAAAAAGTTATCTGTAGCCCTGATTTCATGAAAACCACTTGTTCCACAATGACAGAGTTAGGCCACTTACTGCACTCATGTTGTAGACAGTTCTTCCCGGTGATGCAGACTTGTCGCTTAGCAAGACATCTAAGCCCCTCCCCACACGGATCAGTGTGACACGGGTTGATGGTGCTGCACACGCCTATCTGCAGATCACTCTCCTGGAGTCCCGCACACCTGGACACAGAGAACAGGGTCATTATTACAGGGTGAGTGAGGGAGTGTGAGAAGGTATTCTTCACATTGTGTGGTGCCATGTCTTGTGTGTGTGGTGTCATGTCTATTTGGGTACATGACATACATATGTGGTGTCATGTGTTTGTAGGTGTCATGTCTATTTGGGTACATGACATACATGTGTGGTGTCATCTTTGTAGGTGTCATGTCTATTTGGGTACATGACATATATGTGTGGTGTCATCTTTGTAGGTGTCATGTCTATTTGGGTACATAACATACATGTGTGGTGTCATGTGTTTGTAGGTGTCATGTCTATTTGGGTACATGACATACATGTGTGGTGTCATCTTTGTAGGTGTAATGTCTATTTGGGTACATGACATACATGTGTGGTGTCATGTGTTTGTAGGTGTCATGTCTATTTGGGTACATGACATACATGTGTGGTGTCATCTTTGTAGGTGTCATGTCTATTTGGGTACATGACATACATGTGTGGTGTCATGGTCTATTTGGGTACATGACATACATGTGGTGTCATCTTTGTAGGTGTCATGTCTATTTGGGTACATGACATACATGTGTGGTGTCATCTTTGTAGGTGTCATGTCTATTTGGGTACATGACATACATGTGTGGTGTCATCTTTGTAGGTGTCATGTCTATTTGGGTACATGACATACATGTGTGGTGTCATCTTTGTAGGTGTCATGTCTATTTGGGTACATGACATATATGTGTCTGTAGGTGTCATGTCCATTTGCTAAACATGACATACATGTGGTGTCATGCTTGTGTCATGTGTCATCTCTGTGAAGTGGGGATACATCATGCTTGTGTCATGTGTCATCTCTGTGAAGTGGGGATACATCATGCTTGTGTCATGTGTCATCTCTGTGAAGTGGGGATACATCATGCTTGTGTCATGTGTCATCTCTGTGAAGTGGGGACATCATGTGTTTGTGTCATGTGTCATGTCTATTTGGGTACATGACATACATGTGCTGGTGTCATCTGTCATCTCTGTGAAGTTGGGTACATGACATGCTTGTGTGGTGTCATGTGAAGTGTAGGTGTCATCCATTTGGGTCATGACATACATGTCTAGTGATGTGGGGATACATCATGCTTTTGGGTACATGTCATCTCTGTGAAGTGGGGATACATCATGCTTGTATGTGTCATCTCTGTTTGGGTACATGACATACATGTGTCATCTCTGTAGGTGTCATGTCATATTTGGGTAAGGTGTCATCTCTGTGAAGTGGGGATCATCATGCTTGTAGGTGTCATCTCTATTTGGGTACATGACATCATGTGTGGTGTCATCTGTGAAGTGGGGATATGTGTGCTGTCATGCTTGTGTCATGTGTCATCTCTGTGAAGTGGGGATACATCATGCTTGGGGAAGGTGTCATGTTTGTATGTCATGATGAGTGTGTGGTTTTATGTTTGTTGGTGTCATTGTCATGTCTTGATGGCATCGGTGTCATGTGGTGTCATGAATGTAAGGGTAATGTGTAATGAATATCTGTGTGATGTCGTGTCTATATGTGTCTCTGGTAGAGTCATTGTGACAGTCACTCACTTGGCAAGGCAGGCATTGGGGAAAGTCTTGCCGTTTCCTCCACACATGGGCTGGTAGGTGGCGGGGCAGTTCCCAGGCATACCTGAAACACAGAGGCTACTGAACACATGGTTCTGACAACTCGCTGTCACAAGGCCGTCACTATTGTCTTGCACTTCAGATCAGAAAGGAGATTACATGGTCACAAATTCCTGGCAAAGACACCAGTCCATATGACTTCATGTTTTCACATGACCACTCAAGTACAGGCTTAGCAGTGTTACATGATACATCTATTGTCACAACACCTAGCAGTGTGGAGGAACTAGGCTGATCTCTCACACCTCGGGTACCCTCACAGAAATCTTACTACATCTTGCACAAGGAACTCAGATTACCAGTTTATTTCCTAACAAAACTGAAACTGATTTTGTGCATTGCGAAAATAGACTTGTGTGGTTTAGGTGAAAATTTTGTGGTACACAGAAAGAGGGAGCATGTCTGACTCACCTGTGTAGTGACCGGCTGTAAGACCGGGGTCCACTGAGCATGTCTGACTCACCTGTGTAGTGACCGGCTGTAAGACCGAGGTCCACTGAGCATGTCTGACTCACCTGTGTAGTGACCGTCCGTAAGACCGAGGTCCACTGAGCATGTCTGACTCACCTGTGTAGTGACCGGCTGTAAGACTGGGGTCCACTGAGCATGTCTGACTCACCTGTGTAGTGACCGGCTGTCCACTGAGCACTGGGGTCCACTGGGTCCAGCATGTCTGACTCACCTGTGTAGTGACCGGCTGTAAGACCGGGGTCCACTGAGCATGTCTGACTCACCTGTGTAGTGACCGGCTGTAAGACTGGGGTCCACTGAGCATGTCTGACTCACCTGTGTAGTGACCGGCCGTAAGACCGGGGTCCACTGAGCATGTCTGACTCTCCTGTGTAGTGACCGGCTGTAAGACTGGGGTCCACTGAGCATGTCTGACTCACCTGTGTAGTGACCGGCTGTAAGACTGGGGTCCACTGAGCATGTCCGCCGGGCACAGATCAGGTGACCAGCATTGCAGATACAGTTGCTTCCATCAACCACAAAATGGCTGCCATGATCTGATTGATACAAAAAAGGGGGGTCAGATTAATTTGACATATTCAACCAGAAACAAATGGAAGAAAAGAACACAAAATACTCTTGTAAGCAAAAACTAAAAACTGCATCAACTCTTAACAGTGTCAAAAGTCTTCACTGAGTGTTAGAGATTTTCCAGGACTATGAAGGACGATCAGAGTTATCCCCCTTTGACTGCAATGGTCATAGGACCACAAGGCATGTCTGTTAGCATATCTGCTTTCATAGGTACAAAATAATTGGGGCAACCCACTGCTTCTTTTATTCCATTAATGTCAAGGACCGCCTCTGTGGTGTAGTGGTTAGAGCGTCCACCCGGAGAGCAGAAGGTCGCGGGTTCGATCCCCGACCGCGTCATACCCAAAAACGTTAAAATATGGTACTTGCTGATCCCTGCCTGGCGCTCGGCATTAATGGATATAATCAAAGACTGGTTGGCTCGGCGTCAGTATAATGTGTCTGAGTAGGGTATCCATGCTTCACTGCGGCATGGTATCTCAGTGGGCTAGCACTATAAAACCAGCTTCAGTCTGGGCTAGTACAAGCAGCCACACATACATACACACGCATGCATGTCGTCATATGAGCGAAATATTCTCAAGCATGACCTTAAACCCAATTTCACCTCACCTCACCTCACCATTAATGTCAAGAGCCAGGCTGGGTAACAATAATACTCTTCAACATGTTTGGTCTGACTTGGTATTGAACCGCCTAATTTCTAGTCTCCAGAGATACAACACAACAGAGGTGGTCAACGGCATATAGACCACACAGGAGTGGGTGAGTTAGACTATGGGTAAGTTTAACGCTGCTGTTAGCAATATCACAGCAGAGAACACCAGAAATGGGCTTCACACATGGAGAATCGAACCTGGGTTTTGGTGCAATGAGCAAATGCTTTAACCATTGTGCTACCCCATTATTCTAGGACATATGGGAACTCTATATAGTACTTTATTCGGGAAACCAGTGACATACAGAGCAACACAAGTGAATTAGCTTCTATTATCTGTATGTGTCAACCAGAGAGCAGAATGTAGGATATATAATGACAGTTGCTGTGAGGTGTACCTTTGATGTGTCCTGGTCCCATGTTGCAGTTCTTGTTCTGTAGACATGTGAGGGGAGAGCAGTTGCCGACCTCCCTGCGGTGTCCACAACGGCATGCCTTGAAGCACTGCTGGCTACGTGTGCTGGTCTGCTGGTCCGGTATCCGCACATACGCTCCGTGGGGGACAAGGAAACTGGATACATGCCCCAACAGGCAGGCTGGAGAAAAACAGAGGACATTACCGGAGGCTTGAGGGAACAGAGGAAGCTACTGGAGGTATAGGCTTACAGGAACAGGGGACAATGCTGGAGGCTTGAGTGTGAGTGAGTGTGTATAGTTTATGCCGCTTTTAGCAATATGTCAGCAATATCACGGCGAGGGACACCAGAAATGGTGGCATGAGAGAACAGAGGCAGACGTTTACAGGGACCGAGAACAGAGACAGAGAACAGGGACGTTACTGGAGCCTACTGTTGATCATTGCAAGCATTGTAATTGAGGAGACTATGAGTCTTCAGTTACAACTTACCGGATTTACATATGTAAGGCTTGCAGTTGTCCTTGTGTTTACACTTCCTGCGGCGGACATGACACAACTCCCGAGATCGGCACGGGTTGGGGCGACATGGATTTGTCACCTCCCACGACTTCGACACATGTTCACTTTCCGCTGTAAAACAAGAAGTCAACTCCTGATACAACAAACTTCTTTGGCATCAAAGTAACTTTTTTCCAGAGATGACAGCATAATTTTGATCTACCTAGTGAAAAGGTATGAGATATTAGAAATCAGCCTGACTTACTGAGGTATCTGGTGACCGATGTACAAGCCCCAGGGTCGGAGAGTTTTGGCAGTGGGTTACATAGCTGGGGTACACTCTGATCACTGGTGAGACGTGTGTAGTCCACGCACTTGTTAAGGATGTAGATGCAGTCCTCCCTGAGACACAAACACCAGCATTAAATGACAACAATATCTGAGAAACATCGGGAATTCCAACATGATTGTCCAAGACATCTAGTGATGTCAAAGAGAAGCAACTCCGCACAGTTGCAGCACCTGGGACAATGATACTTACTGGCAGATTGAGATTGGGCTGGGCTTGGAGTGGCAGGGTTTGATCTGGACAGCACAAGCGATAGCCTTCCACAGCTCTGGTTCACACTCACGGATATCTGAAATATACCACAGCCAGATGTAGTGGTCAGTGAGCCTTTTGTCAGCAGTGTGTATTTAGTCAAGTCTGGATCAGGCAAACCAGAACTTGATATTGGGAATGTTTGAATTCACCATTAATGTGAAAAGACAAAATAATTAGGAACAGTTGATTTACATTAAAAGTAAAACATACAGATAATTACATCGGAGATGTATTTCACTCAAAGAGTGAGTGACTGAGTTTAGTTCTACACTGCCTTTTAGCAATATTCCAGCAATATCACAGCAATATTCCAGCAATATCACAGCAATATTCCAGCAATATCACAGCAAGGGATACCCATGTGGGGAATCGAACCTGGGACAAGCGGACGCTTTTACCCCACCACCCATCACTCAAAGAAATTAAATGAAAGTTGGAAGTATTTTCATATTATTTAAGTCCAACTACTGCCCAACAAACACATCATCAAAGGTTTGGGCCTTTCTTCACACCGTGATCGACTGACTGACTGACTGAGTTTGGTTTTACGCCACTTTTAGCAATATTCCAGCAACATCACGGCGGGGGACACCAGAAATGGGCTTCACACATTGTGCCCATGTGGGGATTCGAACCCGGGTCTTCGGCGTGACGAGCCAACGCTTTAACCATTAGGCTACCCCACCGCCCCTACACCGTGATCGAAGCACCAAGATAAGTCCCATACTTTAACATAGACCTAGAGTCGTAGTGCAAGAACAACCTGTGGAATGAGGTCCTGAGACAAAATCATATGCAGCTAGTTCACTCCAGAAACACATGTACATCGAATGGAATGTCGAAAAACATCAGAGACAAATATACTGAGAGAAACATACAAAGGATCATGTTCAAGTTCCAGTGTTCCTTCCAAGTATCGGCCAGTTTCATGACCAGCTTCCAAGAACGCTGTGGTGATGGAAAATAATAAAGAAACACTCGAACTTTAACATGATCCTTGGTTTCTTCTCAGTATATTACGGGGCGGTGGGGTAGCCTAGTGGTTAAAGCGTTGGCTCGTCACGCCGAAGACCCGGTTCGAATCCCCACATGGGTACAATGTGTGAAGCCCATTTCTGGTGTCCCCCGCCGTGATGTTGCTGGAATATTGCTTAAAGCGGCGTAAAACCAAACTCAGTCAGTCTCAGTATATTACAGTTCTTGTCATGCCAATTGTTTATGCACATTCTTGCCAATTGTGTTTTATGTTAAATCAATTGAATTTAACAAACCCTACTACAGTCATATAACAATAAGCACTCCAAATGTGTGTACAATGAGTCTGAAGACCGAACGACTAGACAAATATCACTACAGTCTGAACCTCCAAATGTAATGTGTATCGAGCGGGAGGAACCGATGTCCTACAAGAGTTACCTACCTTTGACTGGGATGGTCATCTGGGGCAGTGAGATCATCCCCTTCTGCCAGATCTTGATCGTTTTTCGCGCGCTCTCGTCAGCAGACCTGGTGCACGACCTGAAGGGCTCGGTTGGACGGAAGTTGAAGTTGGTGCAGAATTCCAGCTGGCTGCAGCCTAGTTTGCAGGGTTCATCAACTGGAGGAGGAACAACACCGGCTTTAGAAGGTGGAGGACAGTAGTCATTATGTAGTTTTCAGAGAATGGTTAAAATATACCTTCACATTCGTCTACAAGTCCTCTATGCAATCTAGTTAGATATGGTCAACCGCCATACCATTTGCCTCCCCCACATTCTTGATCATCTTCCTTCCATCCCCACCTTGAACCCTGTTTTATCCATCTCACCTTTCTGTATTAAGACAATCATCCTTTATCCACCGAATCCTCTTCCATCCACCCTGACATCCTTCAGACACCCAATCATCTTCCTACCTCACCTAACATCCACTATCCTTCATCCACCTCAACCTCCATCATACAACCAATCATCTTCGACTATCCCTTCCCACCCTATCAAACATCCACTATCATCCATTCAGCCCAACAACTGGCATCTACGTCACCATCCTGCATCTACTGTCATCCTAAGCCAAACCTTCCCATCATCCTCAATCCACGCCCACTAACCCTGTTCCACCCAGCCATCCTCGTTCCGCCCAGCCATCCACACCACTCTACTCTATCTACCCTCCATCTGGGATCAACCCCACTATCCTCTGTCCACACCACTATCCTCTGTCCACACCACTATCCTCTGTCCACACCACTATCCTCTGTACACACCACTATCCTCTGTACACACCACTATCCACACCACTATCCTCAGTCCACACCACTCACACCCCTATCCTCTGTACACACCACTACCCTCTGTACACACCACTACCCTCTGTACACACCACCTTGCTCTATCCCCACCACCTTGCTCTGTCCACACCACTATCCTCTATCCACAGCACTACCTTCTATCCACAGCACTATCCACACCACCTACCATCATGCAGACAGTTGTGCATGGGAGCCTCCAGAACAGACACAGGCTGGATAAACGAACAACTCTTGTCAAACTCGGACCCGTGCTTTGTCCAGCTCTTTGTGTATGTCTATAACAAAACCACAAAGAAATATCAGTCATATCCCCATTACCAAAAACATGTTGCCATGACCTGAATAGAGGATTACAGAAATAAAGAATCATTACAGAAACCCCTGCCATTATCAACAAGCAGTTACAAGCATTATTTTCATGATTATCATTTCATCTACTACATAAACCCCGAAATCAAGAACACTCAATTACTTTACACAGCTTTGTAAAACTCATAAATTAGCAAAAGCAAATGCAGATAAAAATAACATTATATTGCAGGAAGGTTATAATCCATGGCCATTTTGTCATTGCCTGAACAGGAAGTGAACTCACATGTGTGCAAAGCTCCCTACAGCGGTCGGAAGAGGCCTTGGCACAGCACTGGAGCCTAGCACTATCAAAGGCAATGACAGGCAGCGTCTCATTCTTCTTGGTAACCGGGGGAAACAGGAAACATTGCCACAAGGGATCCTGGGAAATTAAGAAGTAAGTACCGGTAATGAATCTAGAATGTGACGGGATTTGGGTGATCAAACCCTCCTTTGACATCATCTGGCGCCTACTTAGTTTAACTTAAACAGATCTGGTAGGACCTCAATGCTGTATCTAGGACTCGGAATACAACAGATCTGGTAGGACCTCAATGCTGTATCTAGGACACGGAAGACAACAGATCTGGTAAGACCTCAATGCTGTATCTAGGACTCATGGCTAACCTGTAAAGGTAGCCGTTGCACTTTCAAAGCCCTACTTCTGAACACATCATATGGAGGATTTTCACAGTAAATGTTTGTTTTTCTTGTTGTTTTGTACTGCATTGGCAATATTTCTGCTATATACAACAGTCTTTACATAATCAGCTCCGTACCAGCAATCCAGTGATTGACGTCATGAGTATCAACCAATGCTCCTGGGATACAAAAACACCAACATAGTTAGAAAGTTGGTGTTTTTTCTGTATTATCCGTTTTCTGTGCAACACATTATTCATAACTATATTAACATGACCCAGGAATCTGGATTCCCATATAGGAATTTATCCGCGCATCTGCTGAAGACGTGGGACGAATATCCGACTCGGAGCATGCCGAGATAATATCAGGGATGGCGTCACATGAGGACAGCCTTGTGTAACAAGTCAATACCATGAATATGGAAACTGATCCATCTCTGTGTATCTGTGTGGCTATCTCAGCATCCATAATGCAGACATCACACTAGCTACGATTCTGCTGCAGTCTGAATATCTAACATACAAACGCTCTGTTTCATGGAACTGTTGCAACATCAGTATAGGATTGGTACTAATAGTTGTTGTGTTGAACAGGGTATTTTTGTTGTCAGGTACATCTTGGGATACTGGAGGCTATATGGCACCAGTCTGTAAATATTCTGTAAGTCTGGACCAAACAATCCAGTGATCAACAGCATGAGCATCAATCTACACAATTGGGATATGATGACATGTCAATCAAGCCTGACCACCCGATCCCATTAGTCGCCTTTTACGACAAGCATGAGCTACTGAAGACCAATTCTAACCATAGGGACACTGTAGGGGACCTCACACAGGATAACTTGTTTGAGTGGCATTTTTAGAAGTTGAGACGTACAATATGGAACACATTTTTAAGGATAACAACTTCTTTATTTCGCACATATATGCAGCTCCTCCACTTCATGTATCACTTTTGCTTGACAACGGACTCACGAAATAAAGAAGTTGTTATCCATAAAAACGTGTTCCATATCTCACACAGGATGTTGAGAACAATATAGGGCACTGTACAGGACACCAGGGGATACAACAGCAGACACGTGGCATAGACAGATCCAGAGGGGGTTGGGGGTGGGGTTGGGGGTGGTGCACCCCTCTTTTGTCCCGTAAGTTTATTAAATGAAAATGAACTGTGCATACACATCCGACCCCCACCCCCTACTTCTCAAAAAGCTGTACTCAGTACCAGGGGACACAATACAGTGAGTGAGTTCAGTTTTATGCTGCTTTTAGCAATATTCCAGCAATATTATGGTGGGGAACACCAGAAATGGGCTTCAAACATGGCACACATGTGGGGAATCGAACCTGGGTCTTCGGAGTGTCGAGCGACACAATAGCAGACACTTGGGTACTCAATACATCACACAAGAGGGCAATAGCGGACACTAGGACAACTCCTTTTCACCTCCTATCCAAATCCAATCACCACTCCCAGTCCTATCAAATACTTAACCACAGCAGGCATGAACTTTAAATCTAATCTTTATCTGTAAGAAATAATTGCTCCAAAAAGATTTTATTAGCTCAAACATCAGAGACAAATTGCAGATAAACTAAGGACCATCAAAAGAGTCCAACAGCTCATTGACCAGGCAACTTCAGACTTCACCAGGCTAATTGATCATCTTCACCTTGCGACCCCATTCCATTGTCTTTGTACTACAATGTTGCCTATCTTCGCCACCGAGATTCATAACCCATAAAATTGAGCCAGATCAAAGACCACACACAGATTAACACAGGTCCCATCACACAGGTCCCATCAATCAGGCCAGCTCGTATCTCATCCCAAGTACAGCTCGAAACCCCCAAAACGCTTAGGCTGGCGAAGTCTGGCCACAATATGGAGAGATGGTGTAATAAAGAGAGTCAGTGATCAATACAGGACAGATTCAATGTGATACTGGGTTATCAATCCCTCACTGATCTTCACACTCAGACGTGCGTCACTTCAAAAGAGCAATTTAAAAAGTCCAGTTGGTGGCGCCCTCTCTGTGCATCGTAATCACTTCCAATGGTAGATTGAATTATCCATGAACATTCGCAATTCACTGGATCAGGAATCAGCCATCAAAAATACATCCAAAAGTGGAAAAAGTATGATTAAACTTCACCTCTTGGTACCCGGCCACCGATCACCAGCAGGATGGTTCGAAAGAGAAATTTAATTGTCAACCTGGATGTATGACTCTTTAAAATAAAAAGTAAAGTTTTTGCCTCTCAGAGCAGGACATCTGAAAGGGGACCATCTCAAATTAATGGTCAGGGACCATCTCATAAAAAAACTGTTTCCCAATAAGCTAACCATGTTTTAAACTGTCACAAATTAACTACATTCCATGCGGTTGAAGAGATGTCTCGTCACGCCGAAGACCCGGGTTTGATTCCCCACATGGGTACAATGTGTGAAGCCCATTTCTTGTGTCCCCCACTGTGATACTGATGGAATATTTCTAAAAACGGCGTAAACTAAAAATCACTCACAAACGGTACCCATGTGGGGAATACAATCCAGGTCTTTGGCAAGATGTCCGATTGCTTTATCCACAACGCTACCCCACCACTAAGACAACTACAAGAAAAATCTGAACATCGGATATTGATGTCATTGAGATAAAAAAAGAGTCCTGATAACACAAGGACTAGAATTGTCAGCACAAATAACACATTTATCACAAGCCTTCCATATAACCCATCTGAAGCTTGAACATTCATAAAATTTTATCTGTAACCAAGTGCTTGTATTAGAGGTGTGAAATTCAAATTAATTATCTGTAACTGACGGCTGTTCTGTTAGCTTAATAAACCCCAAATGAAGGATCTGTGCTTGAATTAATCAAGTCGGAGAGCAAGGTCCTGGCTTCGAGCGATAATTTAGAGTACCAAGGCCCCAATGTTGCATCCCCTCCGCCTCCATCACCACGGACACCAGAACACATGCAAAGAAAAAATACCATAGAATGGCTCTTATTATCACAAATGCTCCATTCTTATCACTCTCCCACCAGGCGTCGCTCCATGCCGCCAGTGAAACTGATTCCTGGTCCCATCAGTAGATCATCCTGTCGATCCACTAGACCAACCCCATCATGTTTCTTTCTCCATATTAAACACACCCCTCCCCCCCATCATTAGTCTTCACACACGATGCAGAGACAGGTTTTGAATATTGTCAATTCTTGTATGATTACCAGAAATATCTTTGGAGCGGTGCCAAGCACATATTGGAACTGTAACCATACCAACCAGACCTTTCCCCCAGGGAATAAATAAACAATATACCTTAAGTGAGATGGAGATAACGCATATATATCTGCATTAAGATAAATACAGCTTTATAACTTCTACTAAAAATAGCAATATGACAAGCAAGAATGTAGAAGGCAGCAGAGTTGGGTCAGATATGTGCACATGTATACAGATACATATACAAGTATACAGACATGAAGATAAACATATATAGATATGCATTGGAACTTGCATCACATGTGGTAGAAATGGGCATTATTGCATAACACTTCCTACATTCCTTTCTGTTTCGTATGCGGGTTTTTTATTTGTGGTTTGACTCAGCAGTGATCAAGCTAAATTAGTGAGTGAGTTTAATTTTACAGCGCTTTTAGCAATATCACGGCAGGGGACACAATAATAATAATAATAATAATGTGTCCATTTATATAGCGCCAAACTCCACACTAGGTATGCCGATAGCGCTAACAATCATGGCACAACACATTTATCTGGTCCGGACCAGATGAACAAGTGATTTAGAATCATTGAGTCTTGCATTTGCTTTTCGTTGCTTTGTGCTACACTTTCTCAGATATATTACATAATGAATTAAATCTGGGCCAGACAATCCAGTAATTAATATCATGAGCATCGATCTATGCAATTGGGATACAATGACGTGTCAATCATGCCAGCGAGCCTGACCACCCGATCATGTTAGTCGTCTCTTACAACAAGCATGGGTTACTGAAGACCAACACGGATCTTCAACGTTATCAGTGTTTGTCTCAAACTAGTGGCATTTGAGGATTACAATTCTGAACAAGTCATCAAAGCTTGCATTTTGCAATAAATTGAACTGATAAAAACTGACAGAAAATGTTAATGGTCAACATTATAAGCCTTGTTCAAGGAGGAGTTGCTCTAAAAATCCATTAAATGAAATGTCCCCCTAAATTTCTAATGCAGTTTTTAATGCACTCTGACTAAGCAACATTCCATAATAACCTAATGAAACAGAGACAATGTCTCAGATCTGGCAATGATTCAGTCAGCCTGAAGACTATTCCTCTTTAGATTATTCCTCTTTAACTAGTTCCACCAGATAGATATTTTCTTACAGACATGTCCAGATATCAATCTTTGTCAAATCACATCTCACATGAATAATTTAGCACAAATGGCTTTGAGCTCATGTCTACCAATATATTGCCTGTGAAATTCGAGTTTCAATTTATTCAGCCCTCGAGTATGATTCTCACGTCAAGGAAATAATTGAAATTAAAATTCTGATTGATGAATTTACCTTTGAAATATGAAACTGCAGAATATTATTTCTTGGTAATATTAAAGCATTGGAAACCATTAAAACTGTCATTACATTCTCTGTGTGAACAGATCTTGGTATATTACGGAAAAGTTCACTTTCCCAACTTCAATGGAGGAGAGTGGAATTTCACCCACGGTGCATCGCTGTGATGAAGATGATATAAACGTTCTGGATGGAACAAGATACAGGGATCGGACATGACAGGGACTGATTTGACGTGAGTGATACCATATCAAACTGTCTCTCCAATATCTGAACAGCTTGGAAGGATCTTTCTCTGTACACGACAGTTAATCCCATACTTGTAGTAAGAGGCGACTAACGGGATCGAGTGGTCAGACTTGCTGACTTGGTTGACACGTCATCATATCCCAGTTGTGTAGATAAATGGTGAATGTGAGAGAGTTGTTTTTTACGCTGCTTTTAGCAATATTCCAGCAATATCACAGTTGGGGACACCAGAAATGGGCTAAATGTTGAGGTGAGGTGAGGTGAAATTGGATTTAACGTCGAGCTTGAGAATATTTCGCTCATATGACGACATGCATGCGTGTGTGTGTGTATGTGCGGCTGTTTGTACTAGCCCAAACTTAAGCTGGTTTTATAGTGCTAGCCCACTGAGATACCATGCCGCAGTGAAGCATGGGTACCCCACTCAGACACATTATACTGATCCGAGCCGACCAGACCTTGTTGTACCCATTAATGCCAAGCGCCAGGCAGGGACCAACAAGTACAATATTTTAACGTCTTTTGGTGTGACGCGGTCGGGGATCGAACCCGTGACCTTCCGCCCTCCGGGCTGACGCTCTAACCACTACACCTCGGAGGCGGTCGGCTAAATGGTCATGCTGTTGATCACCATATTGTCTGGTCCAGACTCGATTATTCACACACATTTGGCCGCCATATGGAATATTGCTCAGTGTGGCAGAAACAACGAACAATAAACAATCCGAACAACACAATGTGCATAACGTGGAATATAAGGAAGAAATAAAGAATGAATTTGAGAAAAACACAATTCTGATCTATCAACCTGAAGTACAAAGGCACCTCTGTTTGAAACAGCTGATTTGATGACCCCATAAAGTAACCAATTATAAAAATATAAACGCACTTCATATAGGTTTTGAGTAGTATAAATGAGCATTTAAAAAATAGAATTTTTAAAGTAGTGATTGGGATTTATTATATTACATCATTTTCAAAATGTTCGAATGGAGCCACCACTGTGCGACGACACGAGCTCTTCACTCCGAGGAGCAGCTCAGAAACTCTTTATTTGGACAAAAGCATTAGAATATCGCGAGACACTTTTTCCCTCGCCATCTCCTGATGCTGACGTTGTGGTGGCAGTTACTGACACTTCCTGTTCAGTTACGGAGACCTCGACTACTAGCGATAATTCTAGCTTCCACACATCTGGGCAGCAATTGGTCAAAATTAAATCCTATCTTTAGAAGTGCCAATTAAGTCCTTTGAAATTCTGCGCATTCTTTCACCAGATCAATACAACAGCACCTCGGCCATGCGCACCCTTTTTTGTCAAACGAAACTTGTCAGACTGAGTGATTGTTTTAGCTCGGGAACATCATTCATGTTCAAAGGTGCATTTATCAGCAGACAATCACTCTCTCCTCATAGGGGAAATGCTAAATTCACGATGTCACCTGATTTTTTTTTTTAAAATTAAATTTTCTCCATTTGAAGGAAACGGGAACACACTTGGTCGGAATCAGCCAATCATACACGAGTGTGCAGTTTTTGTGCTGCCAAGTGACGAACACCAAATTCAGCTTTCAAGCAGCATGAGGACGGGGTACAGTGAAACTTGGAAAGTCTTTGTCTCCCAAAGACAGTGGCACTATGACTAATAGTGAGTGAGTTTAGTTTTACGCCACTTTTAGCAATATTCCAGCAAAATCACGGCGGGGGACACCTAAAATGGGCTTCACACATTGTACCAATGTGGAGAATCAAACCCGGGACTTAGGCGTGACGAGTGGATGCTTTAACTATCAGGCTACCCCACTGCCCTACTATGACAAATATGTTTCAGTATAAAAGTTTAATGACGAGATCCCTTGTGAGGTGATGTGAAATGGTGACGAACAAGATTTTGTATTCATGATTATTGGGAGTGAGCGAGTGAGTTGGGTTTTACTCCGCTTTTAGCAATATTCCAGTAACATTGCAGCAGGGGAAACCAGAAATGGGCTCCACACATTATACCCATGTCGGAAATCGAACCTGGACCTTTGGTGTTACGAGTGAATGCATGAGCATCGATCTATGCAACTGGGAAACGATGACAACCAAGTCAGCGAGCCAGACCATCCGATCCCGTAAGTCGCCTCTTATGACAAGCATGGGTTATTGAAGACCAATTCTGACCTGGATCTTCACGGGTCCCTTAAAGATTGATACTGATGTCATATCAGACATTTTAATACATGCCAGGTGACTTACATCTGTTTTTCAAGATGGCTACTGGACATAGATTTTCACTAACTAATGATAATGTCGGAGAGCGAGTGAGTGAGTTTACTTTTACGCTGCACTCAACAATATTCCAGCTATATGGCGGTGGTCTGTAAATAATTGAGTCTGGACCAGACAATCCAGTGATCAACAGCACGAGCACCGATCTGCACAATTGGGAACCGATGACAAGTGTCAACCAAGTCAGCGAGCCTGACCACCCGATCCCGTTAGTCGCCTCTTACAACAAACATAGTCGCCTTTTGTGGCAAGCATGGGTTGCTGAAGACCTATTCTACCCCGGATCTTCACAGATCTAATGTCGGAGAGGATTGTGGATGTCAGTAAGGGACAGTGTCTACCTACCCTCATGTCAGGGGGGTCGCGCAGGTTTTGATCAGGGCCTCTACCATCTCGTCATCGTTCAGGGACGTCTTCAACACTCTCTCACACTCGCTTGGCACTCCCGCGTCTTGGCCTTCTGACAGCATGGTATGTCTGAAATTAGGGTATATATATATGAAGAGAAACAAATAAAGGAACGTAGGAAAATTCAAGTGTTCCTTTAATATGTTCTAGTTTTCATCTCCAGCTTTGAATAGCGCTGTGATGATGAAAACTGGAAAATAATAAAGGAATGCTTGAATTTTCCTGTGTTCCTTCATTTGTTTCTCTGCGTATATGAACAAGGGGAATGTCTCCAAATAAGATATGCCGGAACAAGGATGTCTGAACAAGGGTATGTCTGAAAACTGGGTATGTCTAAACAAGGTGTATATCTGAATAAGAGTATGTCAGAACATGAGTATGTCTGAACACAGATATGTCTGAACATGGGTATGTTACAACAAATGGTATAAAGGGTATGTCTGAACAAGGGTATGTCTGAAAACTGGGTATGTCTGAATAAGAGTGAGTGAGTGAGTTTAGTTTTAGGCTGCACTCCAGCAATATTCCAGCTATATGGTGGCGGTCTGTAAATAATCGAGTCTGGACCAGACAATCCAGTGATCAAAAGCATGAGCATCGTTCTTAGCAAGTGGGAACCGATAACATGTGTCAACCAAGTCAGCAAGTCGGACCACCCGATCCCGTTAGTCGCCTCTTACGACAAGCATGGGTTACTGAAGATCAGTTTTTCTAACCCGGATCTTCATGGGTCTGTCTGAATAAGAAGTATAAAGGATATGTCTGAGCAACTGGTAGGTCTGAACACTCCACCGCTGTCTGTCTGGGGTTCCGGACTAATTATTCCTTTTCCATCAAATCCCGTAAACAAGATCATGAAAGGTAGCCTGTAGCACTGCAGGGAAGCCCCACGTGAGTACTCACTGTCCTGTGGTATGTTGGCTCTGGCCGAGCGGGTCTGGTTCTGCACACACTTGGCTACAGGCAGGCTTCCACCCTTGCAATGTCGGTACACCACGTCGCGGTTCGCTCTCGCCGTCGTCGACCCCAACAGGAAGAAGCTGTGACACACAATGCTGCAGCTGTCTCGTACTGACTGATGACAGCACTTGTCTCCCACTGGAACACAAACAGAGTCTCATTGGTCAGCTCCATCAACAGTGTGATGAATGAGTGAGTGAGTGAGTGATTTTAGTTTAACGCCACTTTTAGCAATATTCCAGCAATATCAAGACAGAGTGGAGTTGAGTGGGTGGTGAGTGAGTGATCTGAGCAGTGGAGTGAGGAGCACTGAGTGAGGCTGAGGAAGGACCCTTGCAATGAGTCGCGGTTAAAGCTCTGAAGCTGTGACACACAATGCTGCAGCTGTCTCGTACTGACTGTGAGCACTTGTCTCCCACTGGAACACAAACAGAGTCTCATTGGTCAGCTCCATCAACAGTGTGATGAATGAGTGAGTGAGTGAGTGAGTGAGTGAGTGAGTGAGTTTAGTTTTCACGCCACTTTTAGCAATATTCCAGCAATATCAAGACAGGGGACACTAGAAATGGGTTGTGTGGGTACCCTGTGTGAGTGAATCGAACCCAGGTCTTCAGTGAGTGAGTGAAATGAGTGAGTGACTTTAACCAGTAAGCTACCGACCACCCTGCTGAGTGAGTGAGTCAGTACAGTTTAACACTGACTTGAACAGTATTGCAGTTATATCGTGTGTCAACATCACGTGGGAGAAAAGCCCCAAGTGATGCCGGTCTGAGATCTAACCACCTGCACAATCAAAATGAACCAGAATAGGATTTGAACAGATAAAATATGTGAGTTTGTTTTAACCCAACTCTTAATATTTCAGTAATATCACAGTGTCAAATGTAGGGTCCCATGTGATGCAGATCTGTTTAATACAATTTTGGTGATATCAAAGCATTCATATGGGCTGACATGCCAAGAAATATGCCAACAAGGGATTTGCATTGTAGCTTCCTGGCTCATGCAAGGGACACAACTCTACACAGATAGTTGTAGCACCTGGACAACTGGGCCATCTGCTCCCTGGCATATTTGAACACTAAAACACATGTTGTCAATTTGGTGAAACAAATTGGTATGGTACAAACAAACCATACAATCATCATCTGGGATTCACATGAGGTATCTTGGTACAGAATGATAATGAACAGATAGTGTTCCCCCTAGGCACATTTAGGAGGGCGCTGCGCCCTGCCCTTTGATTTTTGCGCCCTGCCCTTTTTGTTTAACGCCTGCCCTTTTCGCCTCAATCCCAGTTTTTTCCAGTTGTGCTTGATTTTACAACAACCCGTGTGTGTTTTCCGGAGATTTTATATAGGACGGAGTTCTCTCCCTTTCTAGGGGAGACGCAAAATTGTTTTGATAATGATTAGGAAATTGGCATTTAAACCATGGCGAAGTCAAAGGTGTTTAATTCGCCTTTACAAATCACAATGCCTACCAAGGAAAGAATCAAGAGGAAAAGAGAAGAAGCGGTGAAGGTTGAAGCAAGGAAGTGTCGCCGACTAATAGATTTCTTCGCTCCTAACAGGTATGTGCCTCTAAGTTCGTGAGTTTTAGGCCGTTGATTTCCCTGTTCCATTTTTACATGCCTTTCAAATAAAACCTTCATTTATTAAAGACAACGATGTGTGAACTACATGGGATGTATTTTGGTACGTTTGGGGGACCGATATTCATGTGACTGTGCTGTTTAGGTGAAAATCTGAAACTCGAAAATGTCCGCCATTTTGAATCCATCGGCAATGTGAAATTGATCTTGAATTATTTTGTTGTTTGTTCTGGGAAATGAAATAGTTAAAACAGCTTGCATAACAGCTTAACATGGTAGCCTTGTTCTTAGTGTTTAGTGTCAATTTCATAAAAAAGTAAGTCTTGAATGAGTAAAACTATTTTACGATTTCAAACAATGGGAAACCACACCCTCACCCTTGTCGAAGCTCTCCACAGTAGATACTTACGTTCAGGTGTATTATTGTGTGATATTTTTGTTTTAATAATTATGATTGCAAATTTAATATCTAAGAATATTTTGAATATGGTATATTAACTTTGTATATATTTTTTTTCAGACCGGACTTAGACGAGTCAGAGGTAGTTTCCTATGAAAACTCAAGCCGCGAGTCAAGGGCACGAGACAGAGTCAGTTAATCCAACAAAGAAGAAAGATGGTGGTCACAAGACTGCATTTGACACAAAGTGGCAACAAAACCGTGCCTGGTCGAGGTACTCAGAAGATGACAAAAAGAAGGGAATGATGATTTGTTCATTATGTTCTAAGTGGAACACCAAGGGCAGAAATGGACTTAATGTCGACCAAACACTGATTGATATATATACATTTTGTTATTGTTATTTTTTCAATAATCCTCACCAAAATGCCCTTTTAGATTATGAAGTGCCCTTTTCTGTGAAGTTACCCTGCCCTTTCTGAATCCTAGGGGGAACACTAACAGATAATGACAGTTTATCAAATATTCTTTTCTTCTTGTGAAATGAACACAGACATCATATAGAAACAATTCATGGCAACTTTAATACATGTATTCTATTTTCAAGGATAGACCGGAGTCACTCTTACCGTTGTGTCTGTGTAGACATTTATACAGTGACTTCTCCGTGTTCCGATTGCAGTGGGTGGAGTCAATGTCCCTCATGGAGTAGGCCTGTGAAAGACAAAACAATAATAAATAAAATCAGTCTGACTGTCTGTCAGAAGGTGGAGGTGATGATGGACGTTGCGGCTTCGTATGACTTATAAAATCACCTAGGATACTCAATGGTTAACGTTATCAGCATGAAGTACTGTATACCGCCGTCGTGCCACATTTTGATAAACATCCTCTTGTCACTTTAGAAATTTGGCTATTGCTTTAACAGTACATCGATTTTGTGAATTTGACAAATTTATGATTTGGGTGAGTGAGTGAATTTGGTTTTAGCAATATTCCAGCAATATCACGGCGGGGAACACCAGAAATGGGCTTCACACATAGTACCCATGTGAGGAGTCGAACCCAGGTCTTCTGCGTGACAAGTCAACGCTTTGACCATGAGGCTACCCCACCGCCCATTTAAACCTTTAGCTTTACAAAAATATCAATAAAACTGAGAATAGTTTTAATAAACTTTATCTAATTTTAATTGGGAGATATTACAGAAAAAAACATGAATATTTTATTGACACTTCAATTTGGAGTAAGTAGCCATCTTTTGTCTGATTACCCCCATATACAGTTTAGGCAAGTTGTACTATGATCTGTCAAGGGAGGACAACAGTGTGTATGTTTTGTATGACAACAGTATTGGGATCTATGACTAAACAACCTAGTAGCAACAAGGGGTTGTCATCCATCAAGCACCTGTTTTATCTTTTGTATGACAACAGTATTGGGATCTATGACTAAACAACCTAGTAGCAACAAGGGGTTGTCCCCAATCAAGCACCTGTTTTCATGATACACTGAGCACGAATTACATGTACACCTACGTTAATATCACATTATCACTTTCGCCAAGATATCTAATAGTGATCAACCTAATATGTAGTTGGGTAGTTGAGTGGGTCATGCTCTAGATTATACTGAAACTATAGGAGACAATACTCGACATAGGTACAATGAGAGGCATCCCTTCTTAGGAGGAGTGAGTGAACTGGATGTTTCAAACAGTATCCAGTCGGTGCATCACGGCATGCCAATGGCGAATGGCAAGTACCCTGAGAGAAGCAGTGCACCGTGTTCGTAACTCCTTATTTTAACACAGGCTAACTATAGTCGTACTGCTAGGAGCACTTTAAGAACGAGGTCTAGATCTTTGACATTTACCACTGATAAACGTAGAAACATAATCTAGACAAAACTGGAACACAAACATGTCATCATTAGCGCTTCATTGCCTAAGGGGACATAACTCCGCACAGATAATTCTGATGATGTAGAAAACCTCCTTCTCGGCGAAACTGGCAGTGATAGTGCTACAATACCATGATCAAGCAGTAACACAATGTTTTTCATTCTGACAAAATGCTGATGCCAAAAAATGTCAATGAAACCTTCCACACCAAATACTTCTCCCTTCCCCCACCACCCTCAATCCTCGAACATTAACATTTTTTCCAGAGATGACATTTTGTATTTATCAGTTCATCCTTGTTAGGTGGTTAGTTTTTTTGTGACATTTTGCTATTTAAGTATGTATAATTTAAATTTATTGGTTTGCCAAGGGGGATAACTGCTTGACTATACTCCATATAAACATGCCACGTGATAAGACAAATATATTGAAGCTTTATCACTGATGATTTAACATATATCACTGTATTTCCCTCATAAAAATGCTTCCTTCTCCTCATATTGCAGCATTATCAGCAAACTGCTGTGTGCTGTACCTGGGTAATGAAATATCAAGCATTCCTTCACCATAAATCAGACATTGTTCATCACAAACCATCACTGGCCATATAAACGCTATCCACGGTGCAGCAGCAGCCAGGATGATGACATAATGTTATGCTCCTTGCTCCTCGTGGGAGTGAAAAATATAAATATTGGATGCATCTTCAGAGATTCTCCTCTATCCAAACCACACTGATTTTATCTTGGCCATTCCTGTGTTATCTAACAGTACTGCAAGCTCTCTAAATCACCCTGTCCCCACTCTGCCCTCTACCCAACCCTTTGTTCCAAGCCACCCCTAGTTCCACCCAATCCTGATCTCAAGGCTACACTGATCTCTATGCTATGCTGTTGTCTACCCTATCTGGCTTTCTAGAACATCCCTGCCCCCAACCTACACTTCACCTGGCCTGTCCCCACTCTGCCCTCTACCCAACCCTTTGTTCTAAGCCACCCCTAGCTCCACCCAATCCTGATCTCAAGGCCACACTGATCTCTATGCTATGCTGTTGTCTACCCTATCTGGCTTTCTAGAACATCCCTGCCCCCAACCTACACTTCACCTGGCCTGTTCCTGCACTGCTCTCTACCCATCCTCCGCTGTGACCCAACCCTGCCCTGTGAGCCAACCCGAACCAACCCTTCACCTTGACACCCTGTCTGAATACCTCCACCCTCTACCTAGCCTGCTTTCCACTTCACCCTGTGACCCGCCCTCAACCTTCACCTTGCAACCCTGCCCCAACACATCCACCCTCTACCCACCCTGGCCCCACACCTAACTCGCTCCCTGGCCATGTACTAATCTCCCTTCTGCACTAGCCCCCACCCTACACAAACCTCTACACCTAGCCCCACCGTACACACCGCTCTACACCTAGAACCACCCTGGTCTCAACCTACACACCCTTCTACACCTAGAACCACCCTGGTCCCACCCTACACATCCCTCTACACCTAGCCCCACCCTACACACCCTTCTACACCTAGCCCCACACCTAGAACCACCCTGGTCCCACCCTACACATCCCTCTACACCTAGAACCCCCTGGTCCCTACACACCCTTCTACACCTAGAACCACCCTGGTCCCACCCTACACATCCCTCTACACCTAGCCCCACCCTACACACCCTTCTACACCTAGCCCCACACATGCTCTGCACCCTACACATCCCTCTACACCTGCCCCCACCCTGGCCCCACCCTACACACCCCCACCCTCTCTACACCTAGCCCCACCCTGGCCCCACCCTACACATCCCTCTACACCTAGTCCCACCCTACTCTTCTCTCCATTCCCAACTCGGCTCCCTGGCCACGTGCTACTCTCCTCTCCACACTTGCCCCCACCCTACACTCCCCAACACCTAGCCCCACCCTACACACCCCTCTTCACCTAGCCCCACCCTGCACCCCACCCTACTCCCCACCTAGCCGCCACCCAGCTCACCACCCAACCCGAAGCTCGTCCCCCATGAACCCACCACCACATGGAAGCACACTTCCTATAAGCATCCTTCAACATCTGGAGACGGAATTAGCATGGCTAGTAGTACCCTCCGTAAACAAGGCAAGCCATATTTCAGAATGGTGCAAATGGCTTTATTTTAAGCTGCAGCCTATATAGTGCAGTCTTCAGCAATATGTAGGAACATCAGACCAAATCCTTCACATCTGGTTGGGATAGTTTCCCCACTGCATGAAATACACCAGCAAGAGAGTTCACATCTTGCATTAAATATCTGCATGTTTTGTCTGATTGGACCAGACTGCTGATGAAATCATGGAATGATGATAGCTTCTGAACAACTAGGTATTATATTTTTTATTCAGATGATAGTTTCTTAACTAGTTATTACTAATGCTTCTGATGATATAATATGATGTCTATACTTCCGACATCAAGTCCAAGAAACATAGTTATTTTATTTATTAATATCTCTCTTTACACACACACAAAAAATCCAATGAAATAAAATTCAAAAGGACCGCAGAACAATTAAGAGCCGAGGCAATCTTGACTTACCCAATCATTTTAGACTAGAGTTGGACTCATTTTTTTATTCATTCTCTGGATTCTGGGACACAGACTATCACTGCTACGGATGATAGTTTCTGGACAACTAGTTATCATGCTTTTGCTTGAAGGTGGTAAAGTAATTCAAAGACGCAAATGATCTGCCTTCAAACATATCACCCTGGAATGTATGCATTGACAATGAAAGATATGCTTGAAAACTACATTCAGTGATAAGGGCACGGTTTTATTTCTGTTGTCAGAGGATTTATGCCAACATCAAGTATTGGTGTGGTTGGGAAATATCGGATAGTTAGTGTAGCAATGGTAGAACCCTGGTACGTTTATTCCATAAAACAGAAGAGGTAATGTTTTAAACGACTGATCTATTACGCTCAGTTTATATAGGTCAGCCATTAATACAGTTGTACAGACAGCACTGAACAGTGACTGACTGACTGAGTTTAGTTTTATGCCGATTTTAGCAATATTCCAGCAATATCACGGCGGGGAACACCAGAAATGGGCTTCACACATTGTGCCCATGTGGGGAATCGAACCCGGGTCTTCGGCGTGACGAGCTAACGCTTTAACCACTAGGCTACACCACCGCCCGCACTGAACAGTGAGTGAGTGAGTGAGTATAGTTTTATGCTGCTTTTAGCTATATTCATGGCATGGGACACCAGAAATTGGCTTTACACGTTGTGCCAACGTTGGGAATTGAACCCAGGTATTCAGCATGATGAACATTACCCAGTTGAAAAGAAGGTTGGTGTTCAATATCTACTGTATCACACAAAAAGATAATATAATATGGTACTTGATGTTACCCTGTCTGACTCCCGACGTTAAAGGGATGAAAGTCTTGGGCTTCACACATTGTACAAATGTTGAGAATTGAACCCAAGTATTCGGCATGATGAACCTAGACAGTTGGTTAACCCACCACCCCAATCCTGAATAGAAAGGGAGGTTGGTGTTCAGTATCTATTGTATCACACAAAAAGATATTAAAATATGGTACTTGATGTTACTCTATCTGACACCCGACCTTAAAGGGATGAAACTTGGGCTTCACACATTGTACCAATATTGGGAATTGAACCCAAGTCTTCATCCTGATGAGAAAACACATCAACCACTACACCACTAGCCCTTAAAACTTTTGCACTGATGTATATCAACCAAAGCCATGAGCTAGCATATTTCTAATCTGCCAATCACTAGATAGAGCAATCTAATACAGT